AATCGGATAGTTGAGTGTACGGGGGGGGGGGAGATTTTTTTGATCATTCTGACCCTAAATCGGACTGTACAGGACCCAAAGGATAAGAGAATTTTTTTTGTGACCCTTCTGACTCTAAATTACATACTTGAGAGTGCGACGGGGAAGGGGCAATTTTGGGTTCTTTGTTGAGGATGCAAGGGGGAGGGGATTTTTTCTGACCGTTGAGAGTGCGATGGGAGGGGAGGGGGATTTTTTTGACCCTTCTGACCCTTAGTCGCATTGTGGGAAGTCCAAGTGTGGGGGGGGAATATTTTTTCTGGCCTATCTGACCTTAAATCGGATAATTGAGGGTGCGATGGGAGGGGAGGCAGATTTTTTTTGATCCTTCTAACCCTTAATCGCATTGTGGGAAGTCCAAGAGCGGGGGGAATCTTTTTTCTGGCCCATCTGACCTTAAATCGGATAATTGAGGATGCGATGGGAGGAGAGGGGGATAGTTGAGTGTATGGGGGGGGGGGATTTTTTTTACCATTCTGACCCTAAACCGGACTGTACAGGACCCGAAGGGTAAGAGAATTTTTTTTCTGACCCTTCTGACCCTAAATCACATACTTGAGAGTGCGACGGGAAGGGGGCAATTTTGGGTTCTTTGTTGAGGATACAAGGGGGAGGGGATTTTTTCCTGTCCCTTTTGACCCTTAACCGCATTGTGGGAAGCCCAAGAGGGGGAAGGGGAATTTTTCATGACCCTTCGAATCCTAAATCAAATTGCGAAAGTCCGAGGGGGGGGGGCTTTTTTTCCGACCCTCCAGACCCCAAATCTGATTGTGGCGGATCCGAGAGACGAGAGAAATTTTTTTTTGCCCCTTCTGAACCTAAATCGGATAGTTGAGTGTATGAGCGGGGGGGGGGGGATTTTTTTGACCGTTCCGACCCTAAATCGGACTGTGGAGAATCCGGCGGGTAAGAGAAATTTTTTTTCTGACCCTTCTGACCCTAAATCGCATAGGTGAGAGTGCGATGGGGAGGGAGAAATTTTGGGTTCTTTGTTGTGGATGCAAGGGGGAGGGGATTTTTTCCTGACCCTTCTGACCTTTAATTGCATTGCGGGATGTCCAAGGGGTGAGAATTTTTCCTGACCCTTCTGACCCTTACTCGCATTGTGGGTAGTCCAGCAGGCGGGGGGAAATTTTTTTGACCCTTCTCACCCTAAATCGCATTGTGGGGAGTCCAAGCGTGGAGGGATTTTTTTTTCTGGCCCTTCTGACCTTAATTCGAAAAGCGAAGGGTCCGAGGGGGGGGCCTTTTTTCTGACCCTTCAGACCCCAAATCGGATTGTGGAGTATCCAAGGGGTAAGGGAAATTTTTTTCTGACCCATCTGACCCTAAAACGGATAGTTGAGGGAGGATGAGAGGGGAGGAGGGATTTTTTGCGACGCTTCTGACCTTTAATCTCATTGTGAGAAGTCCAAGGTGGGGGGGGGGGATTTTTTTGACCTTTCTGACCTTAAATCGCAATGCGTGAAGTCCACGGGGGGCGGGGGATATTTTTGATCCTTCTGACCCTTAATCGCATTGTGCGAACTCCAAGGGCAGGGGGGCCGGAATTTTTGCTGACGCTTCTGACCCTAAATCGGACTGCTATGGTTTCAATGGGGGTTGAGACTTTTTTTGACCCTTCTGACCCGTAATTGCATTGTGGGAAGTCCATGAGTGGGGAGATGGGGTTTACTGACCCGTCTGAGCCTAAACCGAATTTCGAAGGTATGAAGGGTGGAGGAACTATTTTCCGACCATTCCGATCTCAAATTGGTTTGTGGAAGATCTAAGGGGTGAGGAAAATTTTTTTTCTGACTCTTTTGACCCTAAATCAGATAGTTGATGGTGCGTTGGGGAGGGGGTATAGCGCCTCGCTACATCCACATTTACGCATTAGTACACGCACACGACAACGTGCGTAGCTGAGACGACTGGACATCAGTGACATCATCGCTCTCTGTCAGGCGTCAATAAAATGTATACTTCTCTCTCGCACCTATTATCCTATTAACGCGTATCCAAATTCTCGCATTTTGCGAATATTATATTCAGTCCGGCACTGACCGCCGAATACTCGGGAGTCACCATCTTCCCCCATAACTTGTAAATATCCCTAAGACTCGTTTAGTAATAAACAACAATTTTACATTAATTGTTAGTAGTGGATTGATTCAAGCCTTTCCCATCACACCACAATCCCTACATTGGTTCCGGTACCGGTCGAAATTTGGGTGAGAGACACATTTCCGACAGAATTCAAACGGGAAAGCTGCGTTATTTATAACCGACAAGTGAAAACTCCTCGCAACCGCGTGCATTCATCATCAAAAGTTTATTCGTGCATCCCAGTGAGTTACTCCTATCCTGATGAACATCCACGCATCCTAGACTTTCCAGTGCCGCACAATCCGCGAGTTCGATTGTTAAATTTAATCCCCCGCGATAGAAAACCGTAAAATTTCGTCGCGTGGGTACCCAACGGGATTTTACAAACGTGCGTCTCGTGAGTTCTAGAACATTCCAAGCGTTCGAGCGCCAAGCCTTGGTTTTGCCACGTCCTTGCGAAATCAAAACAAGTGCCAGTGGTCGTGCCCTAACATCATTGTTATTGTGACGAGTGCCAGCACATTGCTGAGCACCCGGAGACGTGCTGTGCTGGTGATGATAAAGACTTCTAAATACTTTATTTTTCTCTCTCACAAGCGTCGATTTTATTTCATTTCGGATAAACTGTGAGATGACAACAACCACGCTAACACAAAGACAAAGACAACGGTAGCAACGAGCAGCTGGAGGCCAGTGACACACTGGCATGAGGGAGAGAAGAAAGTAACCTCATGCCACTCTTCTCCGATGGCAGCGTTGAGAACATCGAGCCGACTCAACGAGCTCATCTCCGCTAAAGCATCGTCGAGAATCACATACACACGCAGGCATTACCTCTACCTTTAGGGGTAATGGAC